GCAAATTTGATGAAGCCAGCCCGTATGGTGAAGGTAAGATGGACCTCGTCGAGATCTATCATTTGATAGAAAATCCGTCGAAATATCGTTTTGAAGCAGAGTATTCTGCCGGCCCGCCATCTGCCCGGACCGGCCCGTTTGCAACTATGCTTAAAATTCGTTCCACTGTTTCAGTCATGCTTCATTTATCGTTTCCATATACCGTAAAAACTGTAATATAACGCCACCTTTAATAGAAGATCCCCTCTAATATAACGCCACCCTCAAAAGGTGATTGGAGGTAGCAGAACAAAGTTTTAACGTTTGATTAACAAAGTAGCAGTGGAATCTAGAAATTTCGCACCATTTCTTTCAGTTTGGTACACTGTTAATCAAGTAAAAAACTAACTTTTGTCACCTCGCATCACTCAAAGACACCTCTCCGAAAAATAGAACGCAATGGCGCTATATTACAGGTTTTACGGTATCCAATGAAAGTGCGTGCAGACCAAACCGAAAATTCTACTAACCATTAGAAGACGTTGAATGCTTCAATTCGGTTCTATCCATTCGTTTTCCTTTCTTCGAAGTTGTATAAATAACAGCTTTCCCAGCGGTTACTGTACCTAGAGGCTCAATGGTATCACAATAGGTGGCGTTGCATCGACACACGATTCCATGGTCTTTTTGTACTTGAGAGCATGGCAACGACTCTGGAACAATTTATGGTTGATTTTTTGAGCTCACCAATTTTCGAAAAAAAATTATGTTTTAACGAATTCATATTAGTTGAGTCTGGTATGAAATTATACTGGTATTATGTCTTTTGTCTCTACAAAAAACAACTAGCAAAATCAGAAGTTTCGTCAAAAACCTTTTTCAGAAATTTCCTGTTTCAACTTGAGAAAGAGTTTTTTCTGATTTGGAACGATTCTTATTAAGACAGTTCTTCTTCGAGATAGCTACTAATATTCTCGAAGAATCCAAGCAAAACTCACTTGATTCAAATCCGGAAAATCCAGCTAATCCCAAAAATAAAAATAAAAAAGTGGACACTTTGAGCATCCTAGTCTAGTGTATTCCGATGATTTCAACAACCGGACGATCAACCACTTTCCGTAAAAAATTGAGGTGATAAGGAGAAAAAGACAACCAGACCACGTTTTTATACAGACTCATCAGTTGGAAAATTTATGAAGAAGCGATGATCAGATTATGGGAAATCGAATTTTTGATAAGAAAACGATGGGGGCAAAGTCAGAGTTTTTGAAGTATTTCCTGGTTGATTAACTATGCCTATTTTTGCAAGGAAAGAGACATATAGATAGTGGAATAGAAATCACGGAAAATTGGAAAGAGTGATAAAGTATCAGAGTACCGAATGGCGTGAGCTGTTTCGACTTGTTGATATGTTTTCATTGGACTTTTGAGGTTAATGGGCCTTTCGATGAAACGACATAATTACAGAAAAGTTTATTCTATTCATCATATTCGAAAAATCGAATTTGCAAAGATTTATAGAAGTTCGACAAGACTGCTCTTCCGGTCGGAGTAGTTGGAATATGAACGGTGTCATCATGTTTCTAAAATTAGTTTCTAGCAGGGCGGGTTTCAAGTCTGGTTAGGACTTTAAAAAGTGAATATGATCAATTATTTACGAAATAAAAAAGAAAACATCGGAGTTATAGAAGAGAAAATCTGGTAATCATGGCCACGGCCGAACTACCGTAATTCGATTTCTCACTTTCAAATACGTTTTTTTCGAGTTTATCCGTTTTCCGGTAATTTTTAGATTTGGAACAATTTCATGTTCCTAGTTTGGAGGTTTTACACACAGCAATTGTCGAGAAGCATTAGTAATTGAGAAAAAAGACCGAATTTTTTAGGTTACGGTAGTTTTCGCTAGGGGGACCGTTGGCCACGCCCACTAGGGATGTTCGGAGCAAAATTCCGAAAAAAAATTGTCATGAATGAAAAAATTTTCGACATTCCGAAAAGGTCATTCCGAACATTTCTGCCCGCCCACCCTCTGTTCTCTTTCACCGTTTCAATTTTTAAACCAACAAAATAATTTAAAAAAGAGTATATCCTATTCATCAATTACGTTTACGTGTAATCCAATAAAAATAGAAATTTCGTTAGGTTTCAATGAAAATTTCGAAACAGCAATTTGTTCAAAAAATTACTGCTTCGAAGTTGTTTCAAATCCTGATAAATTCGAATAAAACAATTCAAGAATCCAATTATTTAGAAATAAAATAACTACATACGTTCTCCCGCTGCTGAATCTTCAAACAAAGTGAGAATAGCTTCCGAAAGCCTTGATTTTGGCTTCACAGAAAAAAAAACACTCATTTTGAGAATTACCAAAAGGGGGCGTATATGAACAGAATTTCGAAAAAAAAATGGTTTTTATCAGACTTTTGTTGTCAGCTTTTGGAATTTTCGTAGAACACATGTAGTTATACAAAAAAGTTTACTCTATTCATCAATTTAAAAATTCAAAAGTTTATGGAAGCTCGACAAGACTGCTCTTCCGGGTTGGAGCTGGAGTAGTAGGGATACGAACGGTGTCATCACTTTTCTGAAATTCATTTATTACTTCCCATGAATAAAAGGTATTAAAAAAGTTAATTCTTAATATGTTTCAAAAAACATATCGAAACGGTAATTCGTTCAAAAAATTACTGTTTAGATATTGTTCCAAGTCTGGTTAGAACTCAATTAAACAATTCTATAACGCTATAGTTGTGTAAAGCGATTTTTTCGAGAAACGAAGTGAGATAGTTTTCTTGGAAACCGGATTCTAGACAAATAACAAATTACGGAATTCGGAAAAGTTTAAAATGAAAACATTTCGTAATAGGTTTTTTAAGTCACACACGAACATTCTTACGGAAAGCGGCAGTTGGCATAATGACGTCGCCGAGTTTTGGAGCACTTGGCACAGCTGACTTCACTTGAGTTTCTCCAGCCTTGAACTCGGTTCCACTAAAAAAAACGCTTTTTTGGATTCAGATTTCATGAAATTTAGTTCCCAAAAAAGCTCACTCTCCCTTCCACTCGTTACACTCATCAAATTGGCAGCAACAGAACGAGGTATCCTTCGTTTGGAAGTGGCATCCGGCCATCTGAAATCGAGGATGAGTAATCTGAAAATTGGCTGGACAACCTACTGGACACTTTTCTTCCATACTATGTTCGTCACTCCACGAACTGCATTCCCGTCTGAAAAACGGGATAGGAAGATGGTGTACATTTATTGATGTACTTGTTGGGAAATTAATTAATTAATAAGTTTATGGTCGTCTCTGTGATTAATATGTAGCGAGTTGATACCACAAAGCTTTCAATAGGGCACCTAGTTTCGAACCAATTTTTATATTTCCATTTGAAAAGAAGACCTTTTTATCAATTAAAGCCCTTCTATTACAGGTTTTATGAATTTCGTGAAGAAAAATATTTTGCGAAATTTGATAATAGCAGAAAGGCGATATGATAATGAAGAAGAAGAAACCATGAGATTAATAATTGTGATTTCATATGAGTTTTTTGTAACAGAAAAATTGACACAAACTTTCTGATTTTAGTTAGTATAATGTCTGAACCAGGTTGCTTTAGCTTTAGCTTTATATTTTAAATCAATAAATTCGAACTTCATTATTGATTATCCGAAAGTTCTGAAAGTTTTTTACCGTTCCAATTGGGGTGGATATAGAACCGGGTGAAAAACATGTTTTTTTTTCTGAGGAAGATACCGTAAACACTAATAGAAGTCTACCCCACACTTGCATTTTGAGCTCAAATTATTTCAATATTTACACTTGGGTTCAAGCGAGCGGGTCAGAAAAGGCGCCCCAGCAAACTCGTAGGCCAGAAGAAATTTAATAATTTTAAAGTAGACGCGGGTTTGATCTAGATCATGATCAATTTCATTAAAATCAACGGGTTGCAACGCGCGCTTTTTCGCTCTTCATTTAAAATTTTGAAACTCAGCCAACGGAATTCGGCAGCGAATTTAGAATTTTTCCTAAATTTACTGGGGCGCGCTTTCTGACCCGCTCGCTTGAACCCAAGTGTATTTATAAGAGATAACAAAAATCTGTCAATTGATAAGACATATGTCATAATATAACCAAAATTGTATTAGTTGACAAAATTCTGATATCTGTTATAGAAATTGAGCTATCAGGGGTTTGCAAAAGTAATGCGCGTTTTTGATGCAACTTCCTTTTATTGTAAAACCAAAACAAGAGATCATCAATCAATAAGATATTCTCCATTATTGTTCACTACTTGCTGCCAACGTGTGCGCAATTCAGCGATGCCTTTCTTGAAGAACTCCTCTGGCTGTGACTCGAAATAGTCCGCCACCCAAATTTGCACTTCTTCACCGCTTTCGAATTTTTCCTCGGCCAGATGATGTTGCATGGATCGGAATAGGTGATAGTCCGATGGTGCCAAATCGGGACTATATGGCTGATGAGGCAGCACTTCCCAGCCCAGCTCCTGAGTTTTCTGCTGAATGATTTTTGCAGTGTGTGGTCGAGCGTTGTCATGGAGCAAGAGTGTTGTCGAAGTGTCCACGCCTTGGCGTTTGAGAGCTTGGTCCACACGGTCCAGCTGATCTTTGTAAAGGTCCGCATTCACCGTTTGACCAGGTCTCAGAAGTTCAAAATGCACGAGACCTCGTGTGTTCCACCAGACACATATCATCACCTTCTTTCCGTGGATGTCCGGTTTTGGAGTCGGTTTCGGGGTCCCGCCAGGACTCAGCCACTGTTTTTTTTCTCCCATTATTGTCCCACTGAATCCATTTCTCATCCGATGTCAAAATGAATCGAAGAAACCACGATTTTTGGAGCTGCGCATCAGAATATTGGCAACTTCAACACGTCTTTCCTTGTTCGAATCGGAAAGCTCATGAGGGACCCATTTTCCACATCTGTTTGTCTTTCCGATTGCATGCCAATGTCTGGAAATTGTGGAAAAATCGCAGTCGAACTGCTCCGAGAGACTGAGAGTAGTTTGGCAAGGATCCACTTCAATTGCTGCTCTCAAGGCATCGTTGTCCACCTGCTCTGGACGACCAGGGCGCGATTCATCTTCCAATCTTTCATCTCCGCTCCTGAAGCGCTGAAACCAGCGGCGACACTGACTTTCGGATATAGCTTCTTCACCGAATACAGGAGAAAGTGAGCGGTGAGCTTCGGCAGCCGATTTTCCTTCCTTAAATTGGTGCCACAAAAATGCTCGAAGGCGAAATTTTTGGTCGGACATCTTCTAGAATGTTTTTTTCATAGAAATCAAATTGAAACAGCTATATAATATCACAAAATGAAGCCCAAGAACGCGCTTTAAAAAAAATTGAACACAAACCGTTTGTTTTGGGTGAGATACAAAACACCAAACTTGACGCGCATTACTTTTGCAAACCCCTAATAATTGAGCTCAATGTGAAAGTCTGCCGGTACTGTATCTTCATGGGAAAGTACTCAATACGTCCAATACGTAATTCACACCCGCTTTGACGAAGTTTTGACCCATATTCCCTAATGTGGCTAAAAACAATGACCATTAAACTCTATTATTCTTATCTTCCTGGATATGACGTAACGTAAACAACAATCCTGACGGAAACCTATTATGATTTGAACGATTTGAGCAAACATGCTCTTGTTTCTACAGTAGTGCTTTCTCTCTCTCTCTCTCTCTCTCTCTCTCTCTCTCTCTCTCTCTCTCTCTCTCTCTCTCTCTCCCTCTTCCGCAAAAGGAGGATTACACAAATAAATGGGGATCAAGAAGAAACAAACACAATACGTACCTCATTTCTCCGCTTTTCTTATCAATACGTTGAATACAGTAGTTGGACATCCCGCCGCACTCCTTTAATTTTAATTTTCAATTGAATTTCTTTTTTATATTTTCTAACCTTCTTTGGTGTCTGGGCATTGCTCTCAAGTCCTTTTACAGTACCTTCAAAGCATCTCAATGCCGAAACAGTGGAAATTGTAAAAAGTAGAAGAATCAAGCAAAGTTTTGCCATTTTTTCGAGATTGAGGTGGAGGCGTGTGTATGTGTGTTGATTGGAAGTTTTGAGATAGAGAAAGAGAGATGAGACTAGGAGAAATTTCTACACAACACATGTGATTAAAGAACCTTTTTCACGATTGATGTGTTGTTTGTTTTCAAGAAAGATTGGAAAAGAGAGAAATGTGTCAGGAAAGAAGGAATGGAATTAGGAAGGACTTTGAGATTCTGAGAATTTTGAGAATCGATCTATAGAATAAGTTGATGGTAAGATGGCCAAACCAGGGAACAACTTTCGTTGATCCGAAAAGGAGTTGTTGAAACTCTAAATTGGGAAAACTTTAAAAAATAATGATTCGAACAAAATTCGGATCACCTCCAATAAAAGGACATAGGTTTCTTATTAAGTCAAAATAAGGAAAAACTTGAAAAAAAAGCGAAAACTGGAAAAATCGTTCCTAACGATCCCAGAAATTTCCAGAAGTCGTTCATTTCTGGAAATTTCTAAAAGTTTTTGCTTTTTTTATTTACGTTCACTCTGAAAATTCCTTATTTTGAATTTCTGAAACCTTTTTAGAAGACACCTAGGATTTTCAGGTTTGGTGGGAACTTCAAAAAGTATGAGAAGTTTCTATAAGTTTCCAGAATAAAACGACTTCTGAGATGATTTTATGCTGACTACGAGCTTTTATCGCTTACGCAATGAGCCAATTACCTTATCAATGAGATGAAAAACGTTTGGCATTTGTTAACTTTTTGAAACAACTTTTTGGGGTTTCAAGATAAGTTGAATTAGTCTGATGCAAAAAACATCGGAGAAGTGGAAGAAAAACGCCTCTGGCAGTGGCGGAAGGTCCCACAACGACAAGTACCGTAACTCAAAAATATTTTATTTTGCGGATTTGTTTTCTCGATTTTTCAGTCAATTTTTCCTTATCAATATTTTTATTTTGCGATTTTTCTGAAGGAAGATAAAGGAAAAAAACGGACAAACAGCAAAAATCGAGAAAATAAATACGAAAATGGAAAAATTTTTAGGTTTCTGTAGTTATCGTTATGGGACCTTCGTTCACGGCCATCGGAGTTGCACAGCTCTGATTTTTGGTACCAGTATAATATCTGACAGAGATAAAGAAGTGTGTACTGGTCAATCAGTGAGCATGAACGAAAAAGTAGTTTTTAAAACTGTAAACTCTAAAAAATCGGAGGAAATATAATCATGTCCAAGATAAACGAAATTTCATACGTCTCCAATGAAAAGATATAGTTTTTAAAGTTATATAAAAATAAAAATAACCTCTTCTGAAAAAACGAAAAATGGGAAAATTTGTTCTTAAGCCTTAAAAATCCTTTTCGTCTGTTTCTGGAAATGGTTATCATCTTTCGAAATTTGTTTGGATTCCCGCCAAAACTGCAAATTCTCCGTTTGCGGAACTTGTTCAGAAGTGACCTAGAAATTTTGAGAGCTGGAAAAAAAATTTCGAAAACCTTCTGGAAGTCTACAGAATTTAACGAATTCTGAGATGATTTCATGCTGAGATTTATAAATACGGAAAAAAAACAATGGATCAATCGGACAAAATACAGTTCAAAATCATTAACTTTTTGAAACAGTTTTTTTGAGGTTTTGAAACTTTTAAAAAATAAACTCTATTATCTCCAAACCGAATTTTTAAAGCAAAATTAACAAATTCTAATGAATACATTCTTTGCTAATTCACCTTTCGAAAACATCTTGAATGCTCTTTGAATTTCTTTTCCAGAAACCCAGCTGTTTTATTCCTTGGAAAGGAATTCTGCACTTTCCCCTAAAAAAGTGCATCTCTTTTTTTCTATTCATATGCAATAAAACCATCAACCCATAAACTACTCCCTCCTCAACCATAAAATATACACACACCCGTTTTCTTCCCCGTCCCTCTCCTCCGATAGGTCTCGCAACGAACACCTGGCAAGGGCCCTTGTAGTGTACGGACAGTCCACATAATGTTCTCTCATTTCTCTCGTTGATTTTCATATTTTCTTTTCGATTATTTTTATTCGAAAACACTCAATTTTGAGTTCAAAAATTGTAACAAAAACCTGATTTTTGAAGCAAAAAATGCAAGCGCGCGCCATCGGACTAGCGCGGATTTCAAATCAGAAAAATTTTATCGTTTTTTTCTTGCTAATTTTCATCGAAAAACCCGATTTCTGTCGTTAAGAATCACTGAAAATTAATGAATTTTGTTTCAGAAATATGGCAGATACCCCGGCAAAAAAGGCGAAACGACGAGCGACGATTTTTGTGACGGGTCCGCAGAGCAAGAAGACCATTTACGATGATGACGAGGAGATTGTTGTTCCCGATCAACAGAAGCAACAGCAGACTCTCCAAGATGTATGTAGCGAAAATTCTGTAGAAAAAAACCAATTTGTTTTTCTTTTTTCAGCTCACACTTGCTCGCCAACGTCTGAATAATGAGTTGGCAGTGGTGAATACGGCTTCAGGAATCGAGATTCTCGTTCAAATTTTTATGGATGAAATGGAGATTTTGAGACACAGAATTCGTGAGAAAGGGCTCAGAATGCGCACGTTCTTTTCGGACGGCACAACGAAGATTCGGGCGGTGCTCTTCAGAATTTTCTCGAAATCGATAAGCTCCAGAACAATGATAGAGTACAAGAATGAAGCAAAAGTGATAATGAATGAGCTAAACGATGCAACGAATACATATAAAATGCCGAGATATACACTGAATGATATGGAAGAAATCTTGTTGACTGATGATTTGGAGGAAGGGATTGTTCAGCGGCGTACAGAGAAATGGACACATCTTCCGAAGAGACCGATGCAGTTTTATGAGGAGGATGAGGATGCATTCTGTGAATTCAGAAAACTAAATGTTCCAATGTCGATGACGTTTGATGAGGATGAGGAGGATAGATTGAGTATGCCGAGTACCCGAACTGGAGTGACACAGTACACCGCTGAAGATCAAATGGCGGCGATTCAAAATCAGTTGGCGATGCTTTCGAAGCAGCTGATGAGTCTTCAGAAGGGAGGAGGTGTTGAAGTGAAGAGAGGATCGTCGAGAGCCAGTTCCAGAAGAGGTGTCAAGATTATGGAAAAGGTCAGAATAAATAAATCCAATCATTTCAAAAGCAACTTTTCAGAAATCCTCCATCGAAATCTCTTCTACCTCTTCTTCATCTGACGTCTCCGAGGATGAAGGGAAGGGACCTTCCGTGTGCTCGCCGTCGCTCTCTTCGAATCGAAAAACTTCTGAATCCTGCCGCTCCACTGCTTCCGTTCAAATCGCACCCATTTCCGTGGCTCCACCGCCACCCCCACCGCCCCCACAGCTTCTTCCAAGCGCTTCGAAAGCTTCAGAAGTCAAGAAGACTCCATTGAAGCCAGTCAACAAGGCAGCACCCAATTCGTTGCCCCCCGCAGAAGTTATTACCTCAAATCGGCCGTACTTGACGGATATCGCACATGGAAGAAGTCTCTTGAAAAAGACTGTTAGGTAAGATTCCACATGGATTTCGCCTCTTAAAATTCCTGTTTTCAGGTCCCCGGGAGGCTCTCCAGCGTGCCAAGACCGCCACCTCAAGCGCCCTGTCTCCTCCTTCGAAGCTGCTCTTCGCGACCGATTCCGCGGATTCCATGGTGACACTTCATTCTCCGAACAAGAAGAAAACGGAGAGGATGATGATGTGAATGCCACGTGGGATGAATGATTTCTCTTTTTCTGTTCATGAATTCGACATATATTGTTCTGTATGTATTATCGTTTCCGCTATTTTTGTCTTTCTCTACTAGATCATGACTCTTTTTTCTCTCTACAAATGTTCTTGTTTTTTTCTACTCTTTTCTTCGCTTTCTCTATACAGAATCTCATCTGAATTCGTTTTCATACAATCAATATAGTGTTTTCATTTTTCAAGACAACTCGTTAATGGAATGTAAATTTTGTTTAAAACCGGTATCAATTAGGATGGCATTTGCTCGCCAAATTTGCTCTGATGAGCTGCGGATTTGGCGGGAATGAGGACTGGATTATGAACGTAGGCTTCACACGGATAGCACCAAACGGAGAGATCGGCCATGGAGAGAGCCATCGGATGGGAGGAATTCAGATGATGCATTAGGGCGTGCTCGTTGACGAAACGGCCGCAGTTGTACTGAAAAACCGAATTTTTCAATTGATTGAGTTCTGAATTCGTGCATTTGAGCTTCATAGTGTTTGCGTACGTAGCGCTCTATTTTACGCCACATTTAGTAAATATTGTCGTAAGATAGAATGTAACGTACGCAAACACGCTGACGCGAAAATGCACAGACTCAGTTCGTGAATTTCCCGACCGAAATGACAGTAAATTTTTCTTACTTTATAACAAGTGAGACATGTCCAAACTTCGGCTCCAATCGTACATTCTGTGCACGTGCTCGCCGCATTGATTCCAGTCGGCGGAAGTGGTTCAACTTGATGAAGATGTGGACATTCGGAGAGAGGAACGACGGCGTGGGCGGCTCCCATGCTCATCACTTCCAAATCCTGATGAGATGGAGCACGAGTCGATGATGAGCCAGACGACGATTGATCGCTCATTTCGGTGTCTTCGTTTAGATCAAATAGGCCGAGAGTCGAGGGAAGGACCTGGAGAAATGGGTTGAGGAGCATTTCAAGTTTTGAGGTGAATATAAATACAAAACGGGACAAGGAGAAGTACCCTGTTCATGTCAACAAAAAATAATTTGTGTTACAAAAATTCATTTATTTATTTTTGTCAAAAAAAATCCATTTATTTATTTTTTTTGAGATTTTCGTGCAAGTGAGGGTGTTTTCTGCTCTAATTTCAATGATACCGAAAATTCGAAAGAGGGCGGAGCTTAGCCAATATCCTTAAAGGTGCTTCTATTTTTATTTTCTGGTATATTTTTCCCGATTTTTCGATAATTTTCGTTTTTAGGAGATTTTTCAGGTTTTTATGAGAAAAATTTTTAAAAAAAACGAAAAAAAGCCAGAAAATAGTTTCAAAAAACATGCTGCTTTGAGGATTTCGCTACCGTACTCAAGCTCCGCCCACTCTCAAATTTTCGTATTTTTTTTCAAAGCATATTAAAATTAGACCATAGCAATATGTATATTTATGTTCAAGTTTCTACATTTTACAAATATTAATATTCAGAGTTTCAAGTTTCCCATCGCTTCCAGAACGTCTTCTTCCACTGAAGTCGTCGTTGATTCTGTCTCCGCAGAACGTCTTCTGTTCTTCTGTCGAGTTTTATATCCACTTGTTCTCTGCTCCACTGGTTCTGTTGCTGCTTTTGTGCTCTTCTTAACGGTAGAATTCACTTTTCCATTCTTGTTGATGCACTTCGAATCCATCACGATGCCAATGATAATCTTGAGATGAAACACACAAATTTAGACAAATATAAGGACACGGACAATAATTAGAGATAATTAGGAACATGGGGCCATTTCGGTCAGTCAAAAATTGCCGACCGCCGACCGAATTCGGCCATCGGTCGACTGAACTTAACCCAATCAAAATGGAAGCCTCAATAAGGAAAAGCCTCACCTGGAAACCTTTCAGAATACTCCAATGGTTCTGCTGAACCGCGCAAACTTCTCGAAGGGTTTTAATACACGACGATTGGATATCATGGGGCTTTCCGAATTGCTCTTTTTCATTTTTTAGCCGACGAAGCATCGCTCGATTCTGAAGAACTTCACAGACGGCGAGAGCACTGTTTGAGATGGATGTTAGGTTGTAGCCACCTTCGAGTACGGTGATAATACGTCCAGCGGCAAGAGAAGAGAGTTGATAAGTCATCCAGGCGAAGGTTTCAGGAGTGACTTTGTATTCTCCCAATGGATCGTCTATTGCTGCATCAAAGCCAGCGGAAATAATAACTAAATCGGGGTTGAACTGATAGGCAATTGGCATTATCACTCGTTGGAATGCCATTTGATATTCGAGATCTCCCATTGGTGCTCCGCTGAACGGCACGTTGACTGAAGTGCCTTCTCCAGCACTCTCTCCAACGTCGAAGTAATCTTTGGGCTCGCCGATGGGGTAGAAGTTGCCCTTATCGTGACGATGAATCGACATGTACATTACACTTGGATCCTGGAATTTGAAAATTTGAAAAAGAATATTCGAGCTCAATTATCTCTGTTCTTATGAGAGATATCAAAAATCTATCTACTGATAAAATGTTTATGATATGAGAAACAATTTATCAGTTGGCAATTTTCTTATATCTTTGACACAGGCCCTGGCACGAGTGGTAAAGACCTACTGATATTAACGGGGACCTACTGATATTGTGCGAGCGAAGCGAGTAAAAAAATTCTAGAGGAAACATTTTTTAGGTAGGGGGGGGGGACCCTTGTGTGATTTGGACCTAGTGATATTTTTGGAATTTTACCTACTGATGTTTCGGTCGCGAAATTATCAGTGCCGGGGCTTGTCTTTGACAGGAACCTAGATAAATTGGCTTAAACTTGACCTTCTAAAGTAAAACCCTACAAACCTCATAGAAAATCTCCTGTGTCCCATTGCCATGATGAACATCCCAGTCGAGAATCAACACTCGTTTCGCTCGATGATGTCGTTGAGCATACTTCGCCGCCACTGCTACATTATTGAAAATACAGAATCCACTGGATTTCGAAGCGGACGCATGATGGCCTGGAGGACGGACGATGACGAGCGCGTTTCGTTGGCCGGCTGGCTTTTTGTAGATTTCGTCAATGGACTGGAAAATACTTTTTTTCAAAAAGCGATTTTTGTTGGGGGAGAGGGGATTACTGTAGATATTAAAGTTTTTATTTTGAATGGCTACTCTATCTGGAATATTGGTATTAAAAATCAAATCTGTGGAAAAAAGAAGGTCCCACCACGACAACTACCGTAACTACCGTAACCTAAAAAATATGTTTAGTTTCAGGATTTATTATATCTATTTTGGTACTTTTTCAGTCAATTTTTCAAATTCAGAAATTCAAAAAATTTCAAAAACTCAAGAAAATTTTAGAGGCAATATTTAAAATTCTTCAAATATATCAAAATTCAGTTTTTTTTTTCATTAATATCGAAGTTTTTCACAAATTCTTCAAAAATCAAAAATTTTCCAAAATATCGAAAAAAAACTGAACATTTTTAAAAATATCAAAAAAATCTGAAATTTCTCAAAAATACTGAAAATTCAACAGTATTTCAAAAACACCGAAAATTCAAAATTTTTTTGCTGTTCGAATTTTTGATAAATTTTCGACGTTTTTGAAAAAAATTTAATTTTCGATGCTTTTGAAACTTTTTGGAATTTTCGGATTAGAAAAAATTGACTCAAAACGCAAGAAAATCGAGAAAACAAATCCCGAAAATTAAAATATTTTTAGATTACGGTAGTTGTCATTATGAGACCTTCAGCCACGGCCGCCGGCGTTTCTCTTCCACCCTCAGTGCTTTTTTTCCGAACATAAAGCCTAGTTGCCCTAATACAAACAATGCCTATGCTCTTCTCTGCCCATCTATGGGGCACCTTTTGGTTGTTTCCAAAAGACCTAATGTCTCTTTTTTTCTGCAAATGTTTGCATAATAACTCATGTTTCTTTGCTCTTCTCTTCCTCTCTCTTTTGTATTTTCTTCTCAGTTTTTCGTTTTTTTTCCTGCATGTCACAAAAATCAGTTTTTTGTAGTTGTATTTATATTAGTCTGTGTTCTACTAGTTGGCGGCGAAATGAGCAACGAGCTCTTCACACAAACACATTGGCTCTCGTTGGTTTATCGCCATTCCCGCTCGTCTTTCTTGATGATTTTCTGTGCTTTTTTTTCGCTTCTGCTCATTTTCTAAGCAGCAGATGTGCTGGTGGGGCTCTTGGAGCTCTCCGAGTTCAAAGACTCAAAATACGAAACTCGTCCTTTTGTGCTCTTCCTCCGGTTGCTAAGAATCAGTTCTACTAAACGTCAAAATGAATAATGCCGCTGTCTGGGGCTGGCTCCGCGGAGCTCGGAGCCGCTCTGACTGATGGCGTTCATTTCCTTCCCTTTCCTCTCTTTTTTCGGCTCCCAGAATTTCATTTATTTTTGATGTCAATCTTTTTTACGCTCTTTTTTACGTGACACCTCGACGTGGATTCTTCTGGATCACCACTAGGGGCGTGGCGGCTCCCTGCTCCCTGCTCCAGCTACCCCTGCTAGACTCCCCTTGATATTCAAATTGATTTTTCGGTTCATAAACCTTGCTGGTGTGTCTCCTAACCTATATTCAGCCCTTTTACCTTATATTTTGACATTTTAGATAACGAAAAATGACAGAAGATAAGCCTCCATTATCCGCGCTTCCTGAGTACAATATGCCCAATTTTCTCAACCTATTTCTTCCATATAACATTATCCCGCTTTTCATCTACTCGTTGATTTTTCGACTAGCTCGACAGTACGTGAAGACGAATTTTTGGCTGAAATTCGAGGGATTCAAGTGAGTTATAATTTCCTGACTACAGTATACCAGGGATATTCGGATTTGCTTCATTTTCGAATTTTTCGGAATTGTAATATTTCAGAATATTCCGATTTTCAAAATTTTCAAATGTCGGCACATTTCGATTTTCGAAACTTCGGAATATTAATATTCCAATTTTGAAAAAAAGTCTGATTTCCGTTTTCAACATCCCTGACTACAGTACCCCTTTTCAGACGCTATCGCCTCCAAAACCTAACAATATGCTGGGCCCATGCCGTCGTCGTCGGTCTCGGAGACCTGATTCTAATGTTCACTCATCCCCATGAAATCTTTCATGAGGTTATTGAATGGTACGACCCGATTGCCGCTCAACTCCCTCTGATTTCTGTTGCATATTTCTTCCAAGACGCTATCGATATGTTGATGTATGAATGGTCCAGTTATACCCTTGAACTTCTTCTCCATCATTTTGTCACCTGTGCGGCTCTTGTGTGTCCAGGAGTCACTGGAAGATTCACACTGGCTGCTGGGTGGGCACTATTGATGGAAGTCAATAGGTGAGCAATCAACCGTAAAACAGAAGGCCATCTGTACGTGCACTTTGAGCTCAATTATTTCAGTTCCTACGAAAGATTTCAAAAAATTGTCCTTTGATAAATTTTTCATCACAATATCGTCAATATTTTATCAGTTGACAGATTTTTGTTATCTCGTATAAAAATTGAGATAATGGAGCACAAAGAGCAAATATATGATGACCTTCTTCCAAGTTCTAAATTTCAAAAATCTTCCAGCATCTTCCTCCACGCCCGTACAATTCTTCAAATCTGCGGACTCAACACCCGGTTTCCTGGAGTCTTCCGCGTTGTCGTCTACTCCAATATCATCAGTTTCTTCTTCTTCCGAATCATCTCCCAACTTCTCTGGACCCATTGGGCTATCTACAATGTCCCTGGTCTCCATTGGTACTTTGTGATGATTGGATTGTTGGGACCAATTGTTTTCGGATGTATCAATGGATTATTGTTCATGAGATTGTTGGCTGCGGATGGATTTTTGCCGGAGAACTTGAGAGCCAGATTCGCAGTGACCAGGGATAACAAGAATGAGGAGAAGGAAAAGAAGTAGAACTAGATTATGGATTGGGACATAAATTAATACGGTTATGATTGCTGTATACGGGAGTAATAATAAAGCATTATTTTGAAATTTTGTTTCATTTTGTACAGAAAAACATGTAGATTAAAATATAGTAATTTCTTCAATCGTCAAATTCTGAAATCTTCTAGCAGGTGGAAGTTTTTTTTTGCGATTTTTCGCAATTCAAATCTAATTTTCCTTCGGTTTTTCGCAAAATTTTTAGACCTTTTAAGGGGTTTCAGCGATTTTCAAAGCATCTTTTTCGATTTTTCCGGTTATTTGTCTAAAATTTGATGGAACGGTGTTCGCGAAGATTACTGTAACTTACTGTAGAAATACTTGTAGTTTGTAGTTTTGGTTTTCGCAAGCACCATCACGTCAAAATGCAGAAAAAACATTTTTGTTTGCAGAAACTACAAACTACAAGAACATAAGTTTTCTACAGTAACCTACAGTAAACTTCGCGAACACCGTTTCATCAAATTTCAGACAAAAAAAACCGGACAATTGAAAAAGAATCTTTGAAAATAGCTGAAAAACCTAAAAAGGTCTAAAAATTGTCCTAAAAATCGAAAAAAAGCTAGTTTTTCCATTCAAATATCGCAAAAAAAGCAAATTTTTTCGGAATTTTCAGAGTTTTCAACTTTCTATAAGCTTCCAAAAATGGACCCAAAATCGACCAAAACCAACCTGTAAACACGCTCCAACTGCCTTCCTAGCCACTTTCAGCGAATCTCTTGTCAAATAAATACTATTGAACTCATTCTCCGCTTCTTCCATCAATTCTTCATCCTTCATCGTCTCCGTTTGCTTCAAATGATCCAACATCTTCTTCGTATGAACCATTCGAATCTCATCGTCCGTCGCAATTCTCTCTGTGTTCCTCTCTATACACTTGTCCAGTACCCCAGACTCTTGCAACGTCTTCAGAATCCTTCTAGTTCTCGCTGGCTTCTCCGGATGATTATCCTCTTCCAAATCGAAATGCGCTTCATCGCCTTCGTTGAAATAGATGAACGTCTCCATTTCACCGGCTGGCAAAGAGTCGGAAGCCATAAAATTTGAAGTGATCAAATCTGTTTGAACGATTTCTCCAGTGTCAGCGGGGCGGTTATTAGGGTCGTATTTGAATTCCACTTTTGAATTGATACTGAAAATAAGGCTATTATTTTAGAGTGGGATTTCTAGAATAGTTCTTACATAGGCCATTGAGCCAGTCTTAAAGATGTCCTCGATGGGAAGTAGTCGAAGCAATTCCAATAGTTCCGTAGGCAGGTGACAAGGTTCACACATGATGTTACAGTGCTGAAAAAAATAGATTTTTGAAAATTTACATCAAAATGTGTAGAAAAATATGTAGATTCATATAGCAGCAAAGAATAAATTCAAAAAATTTGCAAAATTTCGAAACATCGTATCGAAAAGTAAAAAATCTCACGGTGGTTTTTTCAAAAAATCAAAAACCGTTTTATGCGATTTTTCGAAAGCAAAAATTGTTTTTTCTCCGATTTTTTTGCAAAATTTTTCGACCTTTTTAGGTTTTTCAGGCTATATTTAAAGATTCTACAGCACGCTCTCCCACAGAACATTTCCGAACTGCAAATAATTACCAGACTCTTCGAAAGATTAGTCCTTGAAGAGCTGAAACGTGTTATCGTTCCGAGTATTTCTCCGAATCAGTACGGATGCGTCAGTAAGCGATCCTGTGTTCTAGCCGTCCTTGAGTCCACTTCCAGAATACAGAAAACCTTAGCAATTTTTCACTTTCCGAAGCGATTTTCAAAGTTTGGCGATTTTTCTGAATTTTTTTTGTGTTTCTATATGAATCTAGATATTTTTCTAAACATTTTGATGTTTGAAAAATAAATGAAACATTTTTTTGACCCCTTCAAAATTCTAATTCCCTATCTTTTATAGTGAAACTCACCTCTCTTTAGGAGGATCCTTCACCTGCGCCGGAAATGGGGCGTGGCCTAGCAGCACCCTCACACACTTCTGAGCTGCCACAGCTGACATCTGATGGTTATAACCACCCTCCAATACAACTAGCATCCTCCCCTGAGCCAGTGATTTTAGGTGATAGAGAAAATGAGAGTATCCATCCGGAGTCAGTTGCATTCCACCAATCGGATCCCCTCGGAGGGAATCGAAACCAGCGGAAATGATAACAAAATGAGGATCGAATTGAGTGGCAAGTGGCATTAGAACATGGAATAAAATTGAGAGATAGTCCGAATCGGTGCATCCAGTTTCGTTTAAAGGCACATTTGCATTGTAGCCAACGCCTAGACCCGCACCAATGTGATCGAAGTCGGATTCTGGGAGATGCGGCCAGAAGAGACCATGTTCGTGACGATGGATGGAGAAGTAGAATACGCTGAATTTTCGAAAATACTGAACTCAAATTCTTAGAAAAATATTCACCGTTTATCTTCATAGAAAATCCTCTGTGTGCCCTGCCCATGATGTACGTCTAAATCAACAATTAGAATTCGTTCAGCTCCAGAAAAGAAGGCTTCTTCAGCGGCCTGGGCAACATTATTGAATAGACAAAATCCACATGGCGACGCAGAATCCGCATGATGTCCTGGCGGTCGAATCACTGCAAATCCGTTCGATGCCTCATTCGCCATGATTCTATTTGTCAGGTCTCGAACACAGGCTACACCATCTTTCGCCACTTTCATCGAGTTCTGAAAGGCTTTATTCACTAAAAAAGTTGTTAAGAATCAATTCAAAAACCTCTGTCATGAAAACAGAATCATAATTTTCACACTGCGAATTGATCTCTTCTTGTGTCTTCTTCTCCGACGCCACCAACTCCTTCACCTCTCCTTCTCATGTGTTAGCTCTAAATCGGCATCGTCGATTTCCAGAAAACTTGTGAGAACGTGACACTTTTCCAGCACTTTTGTCTGTTTCAACGCCTCCTTGATCTTCTGAATCCGATCCGGCGATTCCGGATGCGTCGGGCAGACGGTATTCTTGTGTTCATCCTGTGACTCGTTGAATCCGATGAGTGTGTGGCCCTGAAGCTTCGTTACGGGTTGTTTTGGGTTCCGAAAATGTTTTAAATCTCACCAGCTTTCTATTCTTCTGGCAGTCCTCGAAAATCATGGAAAACTAGAGCTAATCAGGTCTAAAAAGCGGAAAAATCTATAAAATCAGTGTGAAAAAAATTGTCTCGAGGGTGGCCGCGGACTAGAATATCCGCGACCATCCGGTGTTTTGACGCCTCCGGCGACCGGTTTTTGCTGTTTTCTGGCGATTTCAATTGAAATTTTCAATAAAATTGTGAATTTTCGTCCGTTAAATTAATTTTTCAGTGTTTTAGTCGTAATAATCAAGTTAAATACACCTACAGTATCGACTCGATTTTCAGAATGGCCACAGAATCCGGAGGCTTATCGAAAGCCGAGTTTCTACTCGTTCAAGAGCAACTTTTGCTGTTGAAAAACGAGAATTACGAATTGCGAGAAGAAATAAAGAAGAAAAATGCACAACAACAGCATCAGAATTCGCCGAAAAACGAGGCATTGCAGTTTGCATCGAAGGTATGCTTTTTTTCTAAAATCGCAGTTAAAATTGGCAAAAAAGACATCTTCAGCTCCTCAGCAAAGCTTCATCTTCGAAAAAAGACGAAGAAAAGTCGGAAATCGATGCGCTTCGAAGAAAATTGGAGACGCAGGAAGAAGAGTTTCGTCTTCAGCAATCCACACTGTTTGAGGAACTCAAAACGGTAATTTTTCTTACTTTTTTGGGAAAAAAAAAGTTCAATTTTATAGCTTTCCTCACAAAATCAAGAGCTGAAAGATCAGATTGGTGCTTATTCGGAGCATCCACTGGAGAAAGAAGCTGGAAGATCTCTGGAAGAATTAGAAGCAGATCTGAAGAGTTTGACAGAAGAGAAGACGCTTTTGAGTCAAGGTAAATTTGAAATATCCCAATTGTGAAAATTTCTGAATTTTTCGAAATGTCGAAAATTCAAATTTTTAGATTTTTCCTGTTCTGAAAATTTGAAATTTCGAATGCTCCTACTTTTGAATTTTCGGAATTTTCCGGTTTTTCAAACTTTTGAAAAATTCCGATTTTTCAAAAATTCGGAGTTTTAGAAGATTCTGATTTTTTAAAACTTCTGAATTTTCCGATTTTTAAAATCTCGGATAAAAAATGTCACAATTTCCATCACAAAAATGCGAAAAATTGTGAAAAAAATATATAATGTAATCCAAAAAAAGCTGCCTTAAAATTCCGGAATTCCGTTCCAAACATCCCTCACAAAATACAAATTTTCATATTTTCAAAAGTTTCCAGAAACGATTCCTTCGCTCAACAAAAAAATATCCTCGCTGAAAGATGAGCTAGAAAACTGCCAAACTCTAAACGTGGAACTAGAAGATCGTCTTCTAACGATGACGACGGACGCAGAAGCATCATATGGGGAGAAGGAGCAGTTGGTTGCTGAAAGTCTTTCAGTGATGCAAGAAATGGGACAACTTCGAGAAGAAAATCAATCGATTGTGGATGAAATGCAGTTGAGAAATGATGAAATCGTTGAGGAAAATCGGAAGCTAGCTGAAGAGAATCGAGAGTTGAAGAGTAGATATGAAGAGCTGGAAAAGCTAAAAACTGAAAATAGCAATCTTTTAGCTGAAAATAAGCTGAATCAAGAAATCTCCAAAAAATTCGCAGAACTTCAAGAAGAGAAACGCACTTTATCGGAAATTTCCCAGCAAGAAATTTTCGATCTAAAAAAGGAGTTGGAATTAGTGAAAGCTGAGAACACTAAACTATCATCTGAAATTGAACAAAACGCTGAAAAATCTGCAAAAAACCATGAGAAACTTCTAGAAGACAGAGTTCTTCTTCTCGAAACCCGTTATCAATTAGAAGTGGACGATTTGAAAAAGAGCTTTGAGACAGAAAAAGAAGAATTCCGACTTAAAATCGTCAGTCTTGAGGAGAAGCTAAAATCGGCGGAAGAGGATAAGAAAATGGCCGTGAAGAAGTCGACGGCGTTGGTGAAGGAACTTCAGAAGTCGTTGAAGGAGGAGAGAAAACGAGCGGATTCGTATGAGAGAAAAAGTGAAGAGAGGTCTGGATGGCATGTGGTGCCACCGGAGAATGATAGACAGAGTAGTCATGTAGGTTTTAGATTTAAAAAAACGCAATTTTCCGTAGATTTGTGGCCACTCTTCAGGAGTCTGGAACTCGACTGTCAAGCGGTCGATCACTTTGAAACTAACAATTTGTAAAATTCGGAAACTCTAAAAATTCTTAAATTACAAAACTTTAGTTCAAATAATTCTGAAATCGAAAAATTCGAAAAATCCAAAAATGTTGAGTTTTCAAAATTTTATGAAATTTTAAAATATCGGAAATTTCAAACAATTCCAGAATTCTGAAATTTCCAAAATTTTCGAAAATTCCAAAAAAAAAAATGAAATTCCAATGTATATCTCATTGGCCGTTCATCTAACTATTGGAATATTTCAGACATTCGACGGCAACGAGAGCGTCTCCTCGATGTCAGCTATCGAATCAGAGAACGTAGAGCTGATTACTCGACTTGCCACGTTGCAGAAGATACACTCGGAGAACGCAGATACGGTAATAGATAGGATCAAAACCTAGGTCAAATAAATAGCGATTTACATTCAGATCCTCCAATTGGAATCCGAAAATAGTCGCTTGCGTCGTGAGGTCACTGAGAAAGGAGAGCTGATAGAGAATTTGATTCGCGAGAAACCACTGGGAGCTGGATTCCAGCCAAATGGGTCTGGGCAGCATCCGAAGATAGAAGGTAAGTCCTCAGTCGCTACTCAATCGCTTGGTACAGTCCGCCTATCGTTTTACCAGTCAACCCAGTCAAAGAAAAATTTTTTTAATGCATAAAATTTCGAAAAATCGCTTCAAAAAGCGAGGTCTACGGATAAATTAACGGGAAAGAAAAACTATGTCTAATGAGAAACTCCGAAAGTGTACTGATTAGCCAGACTTTTCGTCTGTTGATCCCTTTCGCCGCGTAGAGACTCAGTACGTGAAAGAGAATCTGGGTTTTACCGGAAAAACCTGACAAAAAACCACTTGCATCAGCATATGGGAGTTGCATAATACTGGCACCAGGATATGGGGGATCATATCACTGGCATCAGGGAATGTAGGTGAAATGTAGGCGAAGACGTAAAAAACAGGTGCGAAATGAATTCACACCCCAGATTGTAAACCGCGGCAGGTGTCATAAAAGAATAGATATGATCTCATGGGAAAATATCAGGAGAATTTCAAATTCCAACCCTAATAGCTCCTTTTCGACATTTTTTCGAAATTCAGATGAAAACTCACATTAGTCTAGAAACATTATTCATATAGAGAAGCCAGGAAAAAGGCAGAAGGTATTCACCACTCGTATCGGGGACTGCTTAGAGATTCCGGGATGTTCCGATTCTTGAAAACTTCGGGAAATTGAAAGTTTTCGGAATTTCGGAATATTCCAAATTTGCAAATTTTTCGGAGTATTTCGATTTGTAATAGTCCGACTCTTAAAATTTTTCTTTCAGTTTCATTCCGAAAACTCCTCAACACCCTCGGCCAAGATTCTCGTGATTCCGACGTCCGTGAGATGAACAAAAAGTTGCAACGAATGCTCGAAGAGACACTTTCCAAGAATATTATCCTCCAAAGAAACCTTCAGACGCTGATGGAGCGCTCTTGAAAACCCTAATTTTCTTGAAATTTCCTGTTTTTTGTCTAATTACCCCTGTGTGAATACTGTAGATACGCTTGTCCCATTTGCATTTTATATGTATTTTTGGCTGCTGATTCAACGATATTTTATAGCATTTTTAAATACAATTTGTATACTTTGTGCATAATAAAAATCTTGCTGAATTCTCCTTATATTCTAGAATAGTTAGTTTTCACTGTCTGAAATATTTTTTACTTTTTCTTTCAATTTTTTTCAGAACTCGGACCGAAATTATTATTTTTTATCCCAGAAAAATATGTAGATGCATGATAAAGGAACAAAGAAAAATTTTTTTTTAATTGCAAAATTTCGAAAAGTTGCTTCAAAAATTAAAAAGTCAAGAAGGTTTTTTGAGGTTTTTCGAAAGAAAAATTAACTTTCTCCTCGATTTTTTGAAAAATTTTTTAGACCTTTTTAGGTTTTTCAGCTGTTTTCAAAGATTATTTTTCGATTTTTCCGAATTTTTTGTCTGAAAATTCGATGACACGGTGTTCGCGAAGATTACTGTAGGTTACAGTAGAAAAATTTGTAAATAGTTTTTTGTTTTGCAAACACAATCACGTCAAAATGCAGATGTTTGCATTTGCAAAAAAACTACAAAAAAAAGTCAGCTCTCTACAGTAACCTACAGTAATTTTCACGAACACCGTTCCATCAAATTTCAGACGAAAAATCAAAAAAAGAATCTTTGAAAATAGCTAAAAAACCTGAAAAGGTATAAAAATGTTGCAAGAAACCGAAGAAAAAATCAATTCGGATTTCGAAAAATCGCAAAAAAAATCGCCTTGAGATTTTTCACTTTTCGAAGCGATTTTTCGAAATTTTTTCGGATTTTTCTTGTTTGCTAAATATATGAACCTACATACTTTTAGACACATTTTGTTTTTTTTTTAATGAAGGTTTGAATTTTCCAGCCAATGGAAGAAGAGGTACCCGGTGGATCGGCAGAAGCCACCGATACAGGAAGCGAAGCGAGCTTCAAAGTGTCTCAAAGAGAAATTGAAGACGTCGAGGAGAATTTGAAAAACGCCGAAGCGATTTTCGAGCATCTCGAACAGCTTCCGTTTCAGGTTTTCATTCTCAGCGAGTTTGGAAAACCGATTTTTGTGAAGTAAAAATTCCCAACTTCGCTAATTTTCGATTTTTTTACGTTTTCAGCAATGATAGAGACGAAGGAGAGGTTGTGAGTCTGGCAGCACTGATTTGTGCATTCGTGAGTCGCTGTCAATCATGGGGAGACAGTTTAATGTCGATGACGTCACAGGATAATCATATTCAATTCTTGCACAAATCTCCGTTGATTTTCTGTGTTGTATCGAAATATGCAGAACAGTTGGACCAGCAATTGGAAGTTCTTTTTGAACAAATCTGCTCGATTCTTTCGAAAAGTCAACTGGAAAATGTGTATAAGAAGAAGGGAGACAATTATGACTTGAGAAAACTGCTACGCGGTACTGATAGGCTTATTGATTCATCGATTTCTTCGTGGAGAGCCTCGCCGATCAATTTGGTTGATTCTTCGATTTCTGCGATTCCGATGAATTCATCGGATCGGGAATTTCTTTCGACAACGATGGCATCGTGTATGGGCGCTGCGAAATTAGATGGTGCTTTGTTTGGAATTATGATTGCTAGAAGACAGATAGCAGCGATTGTCAGGTTTAAGGTGAGCTAGGAAAAGTGTTAAAAATTCTATTGGTTCATGGGATTGTTTGCAAGTTTTCGGTTTTTTGTTTTAAAAACAGCTGGAAATCGAAAATATATACTTATTTTTTCGATTTTTCAATAACCTCATTTGTTTTCATGCAATTTCTCCGAAATTCGGGAAAAAGCCCGGCACGGCCCGGTCCGTTACAAGTATGTAAATAATTGTTTTCTGGTCCATTTTCTTCGATTTCCCGATGATTTTCATTGTCTTTATGTGATTTTTTTTGTAAATTTTCCAGATTTCTGTTAAAAAAAAAGTCGAAAATCTACGAAACATCGAAAAATTAGGCCAGAAAATGCATTTTAACTACCGTAATCCTCAAAGGCGCAGCATCGATAACTTGAAAGTGTCTCACAGCGATTGTTCATTTTTTCCATGCTGTGCCGTTGAAGTACTGTAGAGCAATTTTTTTCAATTTTCCGATGAATTTTGTCGATTTTCCAATAAGTTTCATTGTATTGCGATTTTTTGCGGTTTTTCATATGAAAAATTCGAAAATCATGAAATTTATTTAAAAAATCGAAAAAAAAATTTTTCAATAATTTTTTGCAAATTTTTTCCAGAAATACGTAATCCATCCTCGCGACTTGAACATTCTCATCAATCTCGTCTCCGACACCACTCTCAAAACGGATTCTCAAAACTGGGTGCCCATCTGTTTGCCACGTTTCAATGACACCGGCTTCTTCTACGCCTACATTTCGTATCCCTGGTGCAACAAAGATCAAGACATTCCAGCGTGTCTAGTGCTGCTTTCTGTGAAACGAGATCATTTCGATGGGTTGAAAGAAGTCAGACAACAAATTGTCACAAAATTGGAGAACAATGCGAAATTCTTCACCAATTTCAGTCAAGCTGTGAAGACGCCGAATCTGTATCAGATCTCACAAATCGGATCGAATTCTGAATCACTTTGGTCGTTTTTATACTTGAATCACTCGTCGAGACAAGTTTGTATGTCCGCTTCGAAGTGAGTTTTTTTCCATAAAAGGGAACTTCGACCGAACACTCTGTGTAGAAAAATATGTAGATTCAGCAACGAAGAAAAATTTCGAAAAATCGCTTCAAAAAGCGAAAAAATCGCAGTTTCGGGGTTTCTGCGATTTTTCCTCGATTATTTTGCAAATTTTTAGACCTCTTTCGGCTTTTTAGCTATTTTCAAAGATTGTTTTTCGATTGTTCCGGTGTTTTGTCTGAAATTTGACGGGATGCTGTTCTTGAAGATTTCTGTAGATTACTTTAGAAAATTTTGTAGTTTGTAGTTTTTTCTGGCAACCACAATCACGTTTTATCTGCATTTTGAAGTGTTGCTGTGAAAATAACTACAAACTGAAAAATTTTCTACATTAACCTACCGTAATTTTCGCGAACACCGTCCCGTCAAATTTCAGACGAAAATTCTGTAAAATCGAAAAAGAATCCTTGAAAGTAGCTGAAAACCCTAAAACGTTCTAAAGTTTTTGCAAAAAATCGAAGAAAAATAGATTTTTTTTTCTGAAAAATCGCAAAAAGCCGCTTTGAGATTTTTCATTTTTCGAAGCGATTTTTCGAAATTTTCAATATTTTGTTGTTGCTATATGAATGTGCATATTTTTCTTACATTTTTTGATGTATTAGAATATAATATCCGGTCGATATTCCCCTTTTAAATTCCCGTTTTTCCAGAATCCCCCTTATCACTCGAACCGAACGATGGATGGCTCGCTGTGAAATGCGACGTTCTTCTGCTCTATCCACACGTCATCCTCACCTCCGAACCCTTTTCGTTCGTGGCACAAAGCACTGTCTCTTCGTTTGGGTGACGGATCTCTTCTCGTTATACTGCATCTTTGGTCCATTTGTCACTGCCGCCGTCTCATTCCAAGTCGTCGAGAAGCTTCTGAAATCGCTGAAGTCGCACGAGCAACGCTACTTCATTATTAATACGACATCTTTCTAAAGAGTATTATTCCGAAAATTGTATTTGTAAAAATTGTGATATTCATTTATATTTATATGCTGCACTTGTTATAAATGCCGTAATGATAAGTGGAAGGTGTAAAGTACGTATTATCAATCAGATCTTTTGGGAAGAAGAATAAAAAAGAAGTGTATCGATTCAAACATTTGATGTAAGGCAACCGGAGTGTGTTTGAAAGAAAGAAACCTCCTTCGTTTTCTTTGTAGCTTCTCTTTTTCATACACTATTTACGCCCCCCTTTCTTCGTTTCGAACAATCCCCCCTGCTTTTCTTCAGCCTTCGTTTTTCTCACCCACCACACCGCATATACCCACGTTCTTCACCCCAGGCAACACCAGAGGAAAATCTGTTGCCTTGTGACCTACTTTTTTCCTTAATTTTTAATCTTTTGCGGCTTGATTTGTGATTTGATTTTTTTGAGAGATTGAGTCGTTTTTGGCTATTCTTTAGCCTATTTTTATGAGCAAATAACATTTAATTACACTGAAACGAGCTTAAAAACCGATTTAACCTTTAAAATTTACAAAAATACAGACTTTCCTGATTTTTTTGGCAAAAATTTAAATCCGCCGTTTTCAGCGATTTTTCGTCACCTTTCACTTTTGAAACTGCTTTTTATACTTTTAAAAGCTTCTTTTTAACCTCATAAATCAAAGTTTTTACAAAAATTAGACCGGAAATTATGTGAAACAAGATTTTGACCTGAAACAACCGAATTCCCTCGGTTTTATTCGAAAAAATCGATTTTCTCGCCTTGGTGCGATAGAGCGCGTTTGCATCAAATTCAAAAAGATGCGCCGATTTTTTCGAATTTTCTCAAATTTTAGGCCCAGAATTTAGCAGAAAATTGCCGTTTTTCAACTTTTTCTCTTCAAATTTATCTTCTTTGACTCAAAAACTAACTGAAATTCGAATTTCCAGCAAGATAATGTCGTTTCGCGGTGCGCCGCGCCACGATCCGTCGCAGCCGTCAACGTCGGCGGCCGTTCAACGTCGTAGAGACGAAAATCTGTCGAGATTCCAGCAATCTTTTCCGGCAAATCCACAAACTTGCCTCTGGGAAGTCGTAAATGCCCTGCAATGCGGTCAATCCGCGAAAATTCGCTTTCGTCATGTAATTTTTTGTCTTTGAGACTCTAATAAATTAGTTAATTTCCAGGAAGTCTACACTCTCCGAAACGTATGTTTCAAATCGTTACTAGAAGACCATAAGGCAAGTTTTGAATTTTAAAAAAAAATCAATTTTTGAAAATTTTATTTTTTTCAGGAAATCCTAGAAAAATTCGCCAAAATCTCCAGCACCACCTACAAGCAGCTATGCGAAAATCTCCGTTTTGTCGCATATTTTGTAAGTTAATAGGAAAAATTTTTAGTCCAAAAAGTTGAATTTTTTAGAAAAAACTGCCGATTTTCAAAAATACGGATTCTTCGAATTTCTTCCGACTCGTCTGCAATTGTATATTTTTTGTGGAGAAACGATGGATTAATGGATTCAAACAGACGAATTTGTTTGATGAGAAATCGCTGGAATTGTTGCTGGTTTGTTTTTTTTTTAAATTTTTTTTTCGAAAAAATATTAAAAATTGCAGCAAAAGAAACCAGTGAAAGTATCGGAATCTGAACGAAGTTCGATAGATCGAAAATCTGAAGAAAGTGAGGCAGGAACGATTACGACGTATCTAGACTCGGAAATCACTGCTTCAACTTCAATAGCTCCTCCGAATTTCCAAACTTCGCAAGATGAGAATCTGCGAATTATGCATCAATGGAATCATTTGAGCATTTATGATAAGGACTTTCCTTGTAATGATGACAAAAGATTCAGAATACGCTATCCATTGGTAAGTCTGCTTTTGTTGGTTTTCACCACCTTGTCATCTTCGTGTTCTCATTAGAGCGCAGGTGCATACAAGATTTCAAGGAAAACGTGTTAATTTCATCTAAAATAGGCTTGAAATGCCTGAAAATTCAGTGTAGCAAATATTTCTCCGAAGAAAAATCGGAAATTTCGGCAAAAAAATGGGGAATTCATACAGAATTAAAAATTATAGCCCAAAAAATCGCAAAAATAGCGAATATCATTGAAACCCGTTTTCTTTTAATTACTGTAGTTTGAATTTTAGTGCAAACACCGCGCGGCACGAAATGCATTAGATTTTACGACACTTTTCACGAAAGTTCGAAACATATGTAATTTGTCGTCAATTGTGATGCATTTCGTGCCACACGGTGTTTGCACATCATCAGAGATACAGTAATCTCAAAATTAGGATTTTTTGTTATTTATTTAACTAAAAATTCCGATTTTATTGGTTTCGGCTGAATGTTCTAAGATTTTGGACTTTAAAAACAATAAAAATCACCCCGAATTCGAAATTATAGGCTGAAAAATTTGCAAAAAAAAAGTAGCGAAATTCATTGAAAACCAGATTCCGGGATTACTGTAGCTCCGATTATGTGCAAACACCGTACGACACGAAATGCATACAATTTGATGACATTTTGCACTTAATTTCAAATTTCTTTGAAATTTGGCGTCAAATTTGATGTATTCGGTGTGTGCACACTACCAGATCTACAGTAATTCCAAAATTCGGGGATTTTGGTTATTTTTTCAACAGAAAAATTCAATTTTTGTGATTTTTTCTGAAACTGGCTGAAAAATAGAAATTTTTGTAGGTCCTCATCAAAGTATACAATAATCGGTTTGAGACCTATAAAAGCGCTTTTAGGGTTACCGTAGTACCAAAACAAGCATTAATCAAACTCTATTACAGTACCGCAAGAAGCACAAGGTGTACAATGACTATGAATACTTCCAAGACGACGTCGATCTCAAACCAGAGCAAATCAGTTTTCGATTGCGATGCGTCCTCCATGTCCCCTCATTCGATGCCCCATCTTACAAACAGGACGGATATTTCAAATATGATCCAGGCAAAATCGACTACGAATGGTTTTTGTACACGAGATACATGGAAACGAATGAGGATTGTGCAACTCAGTTCGCAAAGATTCGACCTCCAAATGGACTTCCGATTAAGAAAGGATTCAGGAAGGGAACGCTGACGCCAACGGAATGTTTCAATTTCCATATCACCGGTTATCATATCCACGCGTTTTTTGATGTATGGGAAGAAGAGAATGCGAGGACGTGGAAGGCTCCAGATGGAAAATGGAAGGGAAGGAGGTATCTGGTGGATATGTACAATCAGTTGATGTTTCCATTGTACGTTCACCCGAACAATTGGCCTCTCTCGTTATTATGGGCGTATAGAAAGTACAGTATGTATGGATTGAAGCTGATGTCAATAGTGAAAAGACACACAGAAGGTCTTGCGAGAGCTGGAGACGCTTTATTCGCAGAATATCCTCCAATCATGGTAGATCCTCACAACTATGATTTCTCAACGGATAGAGATCGTAATCAGTACTATCGAATGATATGTGGAGATAATAAGAGAATTGTCGACAAGTTTATACATACGGTGAGTTTTCTTTTTTTACTGTAGAAGCCAAAGAATCAGAATTTCTTGCAGATTCACAAGTCAACATCAGAAGACACTACGATATACAAACGAAAACGAAAATCCAATCCAAAAGAAGAAGAGGAATATTTCACAAGTCCTCGAAAAACAACACCCCCACTGACAGTGCCAACTGCCAGAGGAAGAGGCGGAGCCCGTACAGTATTCAAGAGACCATTGAACATTCCTCGAGACTTTGGAAGTCCATCTGCCTCTAGAGAATCCACACCTGCCGCTGCTGTAGCATCACCTCCCGTTGAGTATTCGCCTGCCGCTTCACTACTATCGAATCAGGCGACGTGGTCTTCGGCGGCATCGACGTCATCATCTCCAGCACCATCTCCACGAGTGGATTCGTCTCCGGAACGTTCACTGGCTCCAACACCGTCATCAACAGCATCCCCATCTCGTTCTGCTCCGTTACCTCGATCTTCAGCTTCAGCCCCTCACGTTCCTTCGAAACTACCTCCGATTCCTCCATTCGCGATGCGATCTTCTCAACAACGTCCACGACCTCCACTACCACCGAATGTCCCGGGTTCTAGAGCTACTCCTCCAGTCTATAGACCTCCAACTGGTTCACCCATCCGAACCCCGCAGCCATATCCACATCGATCTCCTATTCGACCAGTTGCTCCTCCTCCAAATCAGCTGCTACCAGTAACAAGAGTGTCGCCTACGAAGCCTTTGATCCTCCGAACACCTCCAACCCCTGGTGTCAAACGACGTCTTCTATCAGAGAGCGTCGGCTCACCAGCCAAACGAATTATGCCCAACGAAGGATGGGGTGATAATCGTCGTGGACTTGGTGGCGTTTTGGAAGAGCACGTGGATGATAAATCTGGACCTGGCGAAGACCCGGATGCTCGGCAGAACGTTTGGGTCCCACAGGATCGGGGATTGGCGCCAGAGGAGTATGCGAGGGAGATTTTGGAGCATTGTAAGTTGTCCTTTATTATATAAAGTACCTGTCAGTAACAACTTATTTTTCAGTCGATTTTGATTAATTCCAGGAGCCTAGAGCTCTTCTGCCAAGTTTCCGATAACTTTGAAAATTTTGATAGGTGTAAAATAGACCTAGATTTAAAACTTTGCATTTACAGGATTTTTTAGAAATTCCTAGTTTTTCAGATATTGGCGATTTCTGAAATACCCCAATTCTGGCCCATTTTTTCTGTAAAAAGGGACTTTACTTTTTCAGTGAGAAAATAATTTTTTTCAGTAAAAAATAGGTCAAACGGGGTATCTTTCAGAGATCCACAAGTGGCTGACAAACTAGGAATTTTCAAGAAATTTCGTGAAAGCAAAGTTTTCAATCTACGACTGTTTTATACCCTCCGAAATTTTCAAACTGATCAGAAACTTGACAGTCGAGCTCCATGCTCCTGAAAATTGTGAAAGTCTTAAATTCCTCCTTTTCCAGACATTGGCGGACCACGTGAGCCTCTACCACCACCACCACCTCAGCCACCAGTTCCAGTCCCCGCCCCCAAAACTGTAAGGCGACGAAAATCAACGGGAAGACAAGGTCCAGAACCATTGCCGACTGCTGCTCGCAATTTGGCTCTAACGACGGCTGCAACTCCGAGACAAAACTACCCACCACCACCCACGCCTTCCACGTCATCTACAGTACCCCCGGCTCAATCTATCTCTGCTCCAGCGTCTCAACCACCAGGAACTACAAGCAATTTGCCACCAGGGCGAACATTCTCTGGTAGCAACGTCCGTGTGAAGTATTCGAGAAAAGAGGTGGTCCCATCACCCCCAGCCAACAAATATCCTGTCAAACAGCTACACTCGACAACGGCGAAATTTGGAATCAACGGAAGAATACCACCGGGAGCACCCATAAGACCACATCCCTATAATTCCAACGCTCGGCCAGTATATTACAATGCTTCAGTTCGGGCAAAAGTGCCTCCACATCTTCTGGGTCATTTTAAGAATGGAGGACAACCTGGAACACTGCCACATCGGCAGACAGCTCCACCGATGTATCGATTGGCGAGAGAAGGACATGAACGAGGAGAGGGAGCGACGTCTCCATTGCCAAGTCCAGCTAGTGTAGCCATTGCGAATCGACGTGGAAAAGAAGAAGAGGAAAAAGGAAAAGTAGTCGAAGTTAAGCCAGAGAAGCCAGTGGTGAAAGTAGTAGTGGAAGATCATAGCACGTGTCAACGATCGCTACCGTACAATGCTCATGTTGGTAGGTGGAATTTTTTTGTTGAGAAAAAGACTTCCATTTCGGTCGGCCGGTCAAAAAAATCGGTTGGTCGAAAAACATCGGTCGGCCGAAAAAAATCGGTCGGTCGAACGAAAATTTGGTCAACCGAAAAAAATTTTGGTCGACAAAAAATCGGTCGGTCCAAAATAATTCACGATTTCGTTCGGCGGTCGGTCGAAAAAATTTGGTTGGTCGAAACAAATCGATCCTCACAAAATCTGTCGGTTGGTCGACAAAAGTTGGTCGAAACATTGGTTGGTCCAAAGAACGGTCGGTGGAATAAATTCACGGTTTCGGTCGGCGGTCGGTCGAAAAAAAATTGGCCGGTCGAAAGAAAATTTGATCGTTCGAAAAAAAGCCGATCTGGTCGAAAAAAAATAGCCCGGTCTAAAGAATTTTTTCTGACCAACCGCCGATTTTTGCCCGACCACAATGGAATCGAGAAATTTGAGAACTCAAGAAAACTTTTTTTTCAGCTGAACACGATAAAAATCGAAAGCTACAAGCGGCTGCTTCTGGAACCGGTATGTCTATTTTTTTTCTTACTGTACTTTCTGTAGTTCGCCCTCTACTCCCCTTTTTCATCTTATCAGTGTCGTGATTGTGATTGCTCATTCTATCCCATTGCAGAATACAAAGAGAAGCAGAGGTGGCGAAAGGATGCTCCACCATCTGTACCTGCTCCACCACGTCAACCATCACCAGCTCCTGTCCGTCGACCTCCTGTGGCGTCTTCTGGAACCCCGGTGGTCCCGCCACAACCACAACTCGCTTTCAGCAGTTCTGTTCCAAGACCTCCAAACGTACCACCAATAGCCGCTCCTACTGTAATGCCTCCTTCTCCTGCAGCATTTCTTGCATCTACTTCTGCTGCAGTAATAGGAAGTGTAGGGCTTAGTAATCCACGTCAAGAAAGGCCCACGATCCAAAATAATAGGGCATTCGTGGATGCGGCGACGACGGCAAGGACGACGGCGTTGTTGGTTGGAGCAGCGGTTCCAATGGACCATCGGCCACCAATGATGGCGTTGGATCCACTGCAACAACAACAACTACAACAGCAACTGATAATGGCGCCTCCAGCACAAATGGTAACATCGATGATGGCTCCACCCATGCCGATGATGATTGCTCAGGAACCCGGTAGAAAGAGGACACCAATTGTGACGAACACAACGCCTTCGAGAAATGAGTGAGTTTTTTGAATACATTTTGGATGGTTGAAAATTTGAATACAAGACTATTTCTAGGCTAGTTACCATGGTGGCCTAGAAAACTCAACTTGCAAAAGTTAGGCCACAATGTAAAAATGACCTGGAAATGGTCCGATATTTACCTGACATGTTTTCTAGATAGTTTTAACGTGGAGGCCTAACTTTTGCAAATTGCGTTTTCTAGGCCATCATGCTAAAATGTCTCAAAAAACACAGCAGGTAATATCAGGCTATTTCTAGGCCATTCACCATGGTGGCCTAGAAAACTCAAATTGAACAAGTTAGATCAACATGTCAAAATTGCTTAGCAATCACACCAGGTGAATATTAAAACTTTTCTAGGTCAATATAACGTGCTGGCCTAACTTTCGGAACTGTAGTTTTCTAGGCCACCGTGTTAAAATAACTTAAAACCATATTAGGTGATTGTCAGGCTATTTTGAGACATAAAGTTTGATAGCCTAGAAAAGGCAATTCGCAAAAGTTAGGTCACTGTGTTAAAATGATCTTGAAATGGTTCTATCTTCACCTGGTGTGCTTTAGGGGCCCTAAAGCTTAGGTCATTTTAACGTGGTGGCCTAACTTTCGCAATTTGAGTTTTCGAGGTCACTATGTTAAAATCGCCTCAAAACACACCAGCTGAATATAAACCATAGCTAGGCCATTTTAAAATGGTGGCCTAATTTTCTGACCAAGATTTTGCTAGGCCACCATGCTATAATGACCTGGAAACGGTCTGATATTGACGATTACTGAGCCAAAAAAGTTGGTGGCCTAGAAAATTCTTCTGTCAAAAACTAGGCCACCATTCTGAAATGACCTAGAAAACGCATCGGGTGGATTCGCCAATGTTCGGCCGACTGAAATGAACTCATTTTTCTGAAATTTTCAAACTGCTAATTTTTCTTCAGAGTGACAGTAAAAACGATCGCTTCTCGAGTCCGAAAACAACACGGCACAATGACACCGGAACAACTGAGTGATGCGATTCGAAACGAACAACAACGAGTTATGGAGAGCGGTCATGGCGAGGGACCGTCGATCAGCAACATTATTTTGAATTTCAAACGTTAGGCCTTATCTCTTTTCCCCCCAATTCATATAGTCATTCAATGTCAAAATGTACACCCGGTTTTAAAATCATCCAATTTCCTCCCCCTCTATCCCTGTTTTCACACAGTACATAACGATCTTTTCCAATTATTCTAGCCCAGTTATTATTATTATTTTTCAATCCTTCTTCTTTCGTTTTCTGAACCTCTTCACCATGTTTCATATGAACTCAATTACAAATTTATTTTTTAAATATTATTTTTATTCAAAATTCCAATAATATTATTCCCCGTAATTTTCAGATGAACAGTGTGCTTAATTAGTCTTCTTTTCGGTCTTCGATTGATCCTTCTTTGCCAAATTGTACTTTCGTCCGCCGTCCTTCAAATAGTGCTCCTTGTAGAATCTGGAATTTTCATTTATATATATATATATTTTTTTTTTTTTTGCATCAAATTTAGCCGACAGCCGACCGAATTCTTGTATTTGCTTTTCGACCGATCGAACTAGAAACCTAAAGCCAAAACTCACTGAATCCAAAGGTAGAAATATGTGGTTAACATGAAGAATCCGATGGCGGTTCCTCTGAACGAATACGCCAATCCTTCGACTTCTTTCACGTAGTGTTTATAGGAGACGTGGAGTTGGGCGAAAATCGCAACGGCGAATTGGATCATTTGAGAAGTGGTGATGGCTTGGGCGACGGAGGGTGGGATTGGGACCTTGAGAGACTTCAGAAGATAGTATCCATACATGAAGGCGTGAATAATATAGTTCATCCAGACAACCCAAACCATATGGACAGCATCTTCATGGTAGCAGACCAGGGCGTAGTATCCGGTCAAGGCGTGGTGGTACCTGATGTTAAAAAAATAAATTTTCGGTTTCAACTTTTCTGTAAAATTGGTAACACATTTCTGGAAGTGGTAAATACGGTTGAGTAGAAAATTCTGAAGAATACAAAAAATACACATTTTTCGGTTTCAATTTTTTGTAAATTTGGTAGTGTATTTACGGAAGTGCTGATTTAGCAAAATGATGTAAAAATTCTGAAAAATACAAAAAACACTTTCTTACCAATGCATGAAAATGAGTGGTCGCTTACGAAGCACAATGAATACCGTATCCAAAAGTTCCGGAATTTTCGAAATGACCCAAAGGAAGATCCAGTAGCCGGATGTTTTGTCGGTGTAGAGTTCGGAGACGTGAGAGTAGGTGTCTGGAATCAAAAAAAGTGCCACTCTAATAGAAGGTCACCCTTTACGTTCACTTTGAGCCTAATTATCTCGATTCCTATGAGAGATATCAAAAATTTGTCAAGAAAAATGTGTCTAAAGTGTTTATCATAATATTTTCGATATTTACGGTAACCGAATCATTGGAGATGTTATTAGAACTTTTCAGGTTTTTCAGGAATTTTTAGAACAACGTTTCCGTATATTTCATTCAAATGAGTACAAAAAATTTGGTTCAATTCCGAGAATCATAGAATTCGAACATCCAATTCCAACTGCTTGACAATAATCGCATGATCAAGTAGAAAAACTTCTAAAGTATGTGAAACAGCAATTTCGAATATTCACCAGTCAACTTAAATGACCTACAAAAGTAGTCCAGAATTTTTCGATCTGTCTGAAAGTTCCAGACTGTACTAAACAAATTTAAAGTTTTGTAATTGACAACTTTTCTGTAGAAACTACTAACCGAGATACAAAAACTTGAAGTGGCAATCTCTAATTTTTCCCTGTTTTCGACACATTACCGTTACAAAAGGGCATATCTGATCGGAATGGAACTTGGAAAAAAAGCTGCCAATTACGAAGCTATTCAGATCCATCGAAAAACTCAGGAGTTCTTTTTTAGGCCTCCGAAGCTTTTGAAATCGTCAAAAATTCAATTTTTGTCCGGTATTGAATGAATTAAAACGGAACAGTATTCTAGAAGTTTTTGAAGATCAAGCTATCAATTGATTGTAAGAACTTCTAATTTCAAAAGTTAAAAAACCCAGTGAAACAGCAATTTTCGTTTAATTTCGATGAGCAATTTTTGGCAGAGTTTTGTGTCAAAAATCGTTTAATAAAAATAATTTATGTTTCAAAGTATTTGTTTCAGCAGCTCCACCAGTTTCAAACATTATGCATGAGGCTGACTCGGCTGTCGGCTTGCAACTTCTGGACGGAAGTTGAGCGGGGTTCGGCTTTTGGACGGATTTTGGTCAGATTTTGGTCAGAAGCTGCCCACTGACAGCAGTGGGACGGACAATGGTCAGATTTTGGCCGGAATTTGAAGGCGCTGCGTGTTAAGAGGTCGAAAGCTGGCCGGTAATTTGTCGGATCTTGGTCGGCTTCCCACAATGTTTGCCGGAATCTGACCAAGCTCCGACCAGAAGTAACCGGCGACGCCTTAGGATTTATAACAATTCACGAGGCAGCAAAAACAATTCACGAGGCAACAAAGAAGGAACAATAGTAATCTTTTCCCTGTTTGCTGTAATCGTAGCTTAGCTGATGCGCCCACAAGTTCAGCTCCTCGAACAAAAATCCAAGAAAAACGTAATTTCATGTCCCCTCCTTATGAAAAAACCAACTTACGACCAAATCCCTCCTTTTGAATAACTTTCAATAGCGTTGGAAAGGTGAAAGTGAATCCGAGAAGACTGAAAGTCGAGAGAATACCATTCCAAATGTTCAAAGGAATACTCAAATCGAATGCTTTCCGATCCTTCATATAATATTTCAATCCAAAAATAACGGCAATATAGACGACTGCCAATTTGGCAGAGAATCCTTCCAAATCACGAGCAACCTCTTTGGCGTTCTCGTAGGTGAAATTGGTTCCCAGAATTTGGTCCATCATTTTGGAAAGAGAAGAGGAGAAGGTCCTAAAAATTTCAGAAAAATTGGAACGGTTTTATAGAGAGAATTGGGAATCTCCTCCCACTTTTTTGTTTAGCATCGAAGAACTTTTTTTAAACTGATAAGAAAATGGAAAAATCAGGCTTTCAGGGAGCCTGCTCACGCCATGCTCGGAAGATGACATGATTTTCATGTGATTTTTTCACAAAATGCAAAATTTTTTGGTTATTTATATTTTGAAAGGCTGGGGTAATATTTTGAAACATCAAGAATAGAAATTCAATGAGTCTGTGTTACAGAAAAAAAGTCTAACATTTCTTTCCAAAAAATGTTCACAGACAAAACAAAGTGATACTGATAAGAGAGAGCACTGATTAGTGATATTTGATGAGAACTATGATAGTTTTTTGAATCGGAAAATAACGGAAATATTGCAAAAATTGAAAAGTTCGCTCAAAACTGAGACTCAAAGTATTTTCATTCAAAATTTTGAGCATTCAAAGTTAGCGTTTTAGGTTAGGTGAAGTTTTTTTAGTGGAAAGAGATGAAGTTAGCGATCCTAAAAAAAGATTTCAGAATTTCAAAATTACAGAAAACAGCAAAAAAGTTACGGTTCATATTTACAAAGGTCATTTTTTGTAAACTATTTTTTAGAACCTCCAGGCAATAAGACAACACTTTTCAGGACCCAAAAAAAAGAATGTAAAAATTCAAATCGTTTTGAACTTATATAACTTACTCTGAAACGTTGCACAATAAAAATTCATGTTTGTCTTGATTAATTGACCTTTTTCCTTCTTTTTTAAAGAATACTTAATCAGTTTCAGCAAACAAAAAAGCGGTGATTCATTGAACTTGAAATGACATCACATGAACATTTCAGCTTCAATAGAATGAAAAATCGAAAAGAAATTGAGATTCTGAGAAAAAAAAATTAATTGGAAACATATCACCATCAATTTAAAACCATGTAAAGTTTGTGACTCCGCAATGATATGGATTCTCTGATACAGTAACCAATTATTTTATAAAAATTTCGAACTTTATGTTTCTTAAAGCGTATGCCTTTTTTTGACTAATTAAACAAATAAAATAGCTATCAGCAAATGACTGAAAATTTAGCAAAAACATTTTGTAAACTCATGAGATTCTCGAAACTGTGAATATTGTGAAAAATGCAAAAGTTTCCTCTCACAGTTGAACTAATTTTTAAAGTCCCTGTTATTATTCTATTACAGTGGAAGAGAAACGCTGGTGGTCGTGACCGATCTGGCTCTGCACTTAAACTTATTTGCTGTTACAGTTACCCATTATTCAATGGAAATGACGAAGTGATAGTTGGTCTTCGAGATTACCATCGTTCTTACAAGAGAAGCTTACAAAAAAGAATTGCAAAAATTTATCAGGAAGAAATATTTGAAAAACTTCATAAAACATGGTATAGGCAGGGTCGAAGTATATGTTTGGGGAATGCTGATCTAGAGGGACCAATGACCAATTGAGTTTCGCCAAAAGCAGCTAAACGAATAAAATTCTAGAAACAGGCAACATTTTCTCTCATATCTGAATTTATTTTCAACGCCCCTGTTATTGTTCTGGTACAAAAACTGTGGCCCAAGATCTCACAACAACAACTACCGTAACCTAGAAACTTTATATTTTCCGGATTTGTATTCTCGATTTTGGTTCTTTTTCAGTCAATTTTTTACTATCAAAAGCTTCTATTTTCCGACTTTGTTTGGCTGCAACGCTACACAAATGAGACTTAATTGGATTTCGTTTAAAAACAGCTAAATTCATGAAACTCTAGAAACAGTGAATGAAAAACTTATCATTTTTTGTTTGGTGTTTCATGGATCTACATATTTTTCTACACATTAAAAAACTAATAACTTTTGGTCGGAGCCCAAGGTCGAACGGCCTGTTTTAGGAGTGCTCATCTACTCGATTTGATGGAATTAACGTCAGATTGAATCTTACAAATTCAGCTAAATTCATGAAGTTCTAGAAACAGTCCAAATTGCAACAATTTTCTATTAAAATTGATTTGGTTTTTTTCAGTTTCTGTTACTTAACAAGTACAATTCATACACCGATCGCTTATCCCAGTTCTCTATGCTAACCACCCTTCATCGCCGCACCCTTCTAGTTCTTCGTACCTATCACAAAATTATTATAAACTCATACCATTTGCCCTCTATGTCGTTCTTCCCAGCCATTCTAACAGAGCCCTGTATTTGTTCAAAATCCATGGTCAATACTTTGACTGCTTCCTTCACAGAAACTTGTCTATGCGGAACCGTGTATGTAAGGTGATAGATTCGAAGCTCAGTCCGGTGGCGTTTGCTAAGCGAGTAGGAGCGATTCCTTATGATATTCTGATCCCTCCCACTTGACCTACAGGACTCTAGTTGGTCCGTCTGGTCATTTTACTTTTTTTATTTGTACAGGTCCCATTTCTTGCCAAATTATCTATCGATTTCCCCCATGCATTGCAAATAAATATATTATTATTATTAAGTACTTAATAATTACAACTTTTTCGTTTAAAAGCCATCGTGGATTAATGAGAAAAAAATTACCCTGAATAGGAAGATGAAGAAACGGACTTATTTTTTCTAATACCAAATTCATAAACTTTGGGACAATATTGTTATACTTTGAAAATAGTCATGTTTTTTAGATGCATTTTGTATTTTGCAAAAGTTGAAACATTTTTGAAACTGTGAAATTTTAAAAGCCCACCATCCCTCCTAAAAATTGTAACTCCAATCCCTGAAGCCTACAACTAATGAGCAAGAGTTACTCCAAAATTACTCCGGAATTACTTGAAAAGTGCAGAGACGAGCTATTTTTTTCTAATTTTTCCAGAAATATTCGAACACCAATTGGTTATTATGAAGTTTTACCATAAATCACAAATTTTTTAAACAGTAAAAATTTAATAGTCCACCCTGCTCCCTAAAAATTGTAAATGCACTCCCTGAACTTTTTGATGCCTAGAAATCTCCAAGACTCCTCGTTGCCTTATACTTTGTTCATTGGACCTAATTCTTTTTTTCTCTTATCTAACGCGGAATTCCGCATTAGATAAGGCAATAATCTGTCAACGATTTCCTGGGTTTTTGCACGGTTTCAGAAAAAGAAATTACACGATTTGATAACAAGAAAACTGATCAAAAATGACTTCATTTTTTAGGTACATGTTTGTGAGGGTATGCCAAGTAACAGAAAAAAAGAGAAAAATTATACATCATTGTGTAGATTCGGTGAGTACGGTAGTAACAATTTCATCGGGTGATGGAGCCAAACGAATCAGCTCTGGGAGCTCACGAACGACGGTATGGAAGTATGGGGGACGAAGGTAACAGATGGGAGACGTGTTGAGAATTAGCATCTGGAAAAATTTTGGATCTAGAATTATTGGATGTTTTCAAAGTTTTCAAATTCACCTTCTCTCTCGAGTAACAACTTTGAATTGTGTTCATTGTTGTTGTAGTTGAATCATGTCCATTTGTGATCGAGAACATTTGAGATTAAGAATCGAAATCTGCAGTTTCGCGGACTTAATTTCTCTTCTCAGTGGGGGTGATATTTCCAGAGATTTTGAAGAGTTGAGCTGAAAGAAAAATAGAACACGGCAGATATTTTCAAAAGTTTTAGATTTTAGTTATGTAGAAGCAAAAGGAACTGGCCCAACGGAGGAAAAGCTGGAAATATCACATTTTCACAAAACGGAGAATTTTTTAACATTTCGAATTCTTGAATTTTTCGGTTTCAGAATATTATTATCTTTGTTGATTGAAAGCCTATTGGTGATAATTACCGATTTTTTTTTGATACATCTTAACTTCGAGAAAAAGAATATGTTGGAAGAAATCCATTTCAACGAATCGGAAAGCAATTTCTTGTGAAAACACAATTTTCGTTTTATAGAGTTTGTAATTTTCACTGTTTCGAAAGCTCCAGTTCACAGTGTTGGTTGCATTTTGGCCGCTACATTCTTTCTTTTGTTTATAATTGCCTTAATAATTATACAACTTTGAGACCAAGTTCGGGTATATAAGACGGTTGAAATTTGAAGAATTTTTTTTCGCAAGCATAGAAACAGCTCGAATTGATGATTTCATGTACCATGTAGCCTTTATTTCAGTTTCACCAGATGTCTGAATTTTCTGTACAAAAATTATGAATATTCTTTTTCTGTACAAAAATTATGAATATTAGTATAGTAGTAGTTTTCNCANCACTTCGNGATATTTTTCCTGCCTCCATAACAACTTATTAGAGTTTTCGTAGGATTTGCCTCACTTGAATTGACGCCGTTTTATCACAAAAAGCTATTTTCCATTTCTCTCTCAAATATTTTCGCTCCAATTCTTTGACCGTACATTGTGTGTTCTGAATAGGATAGATAACATTTTCTTTCTCCTCCAAAAAACCCATAAACATCACTCTTCTGCCTCTCTCTCCTCTTCCATCGC